GACTCGGTGCTCTGCACTACCCAGCTCTCTGCCGTTTCCCCAGGAAAGGATCAGGCCGAGCCGGAGCCGTCCTAAACCCAGCGGCCCCTGCAAACCCCCCGCTGAGGCACCGACGTGCTGCTGAAGTAATGTGGACCTGCTGGGCTCTGCAGCGCTTCTGAAGCAACAAAAACAGCGGGAGAAAAAGGTACCAGTGGCTTCAAAAGGAGCAGCTTTAATGGTAGCCCGCAGCAGAGCAGAGCTCTCCCAGGGCGATATGGGACAGGGACAACGCGGGGCGCCCGCAGGCTGCGGGGGCTAACTGGGACCCGAGTGCGGCTCTGCCGAGTGGCTCTGAAGGAAGAAGGCAGAGAGCTCGCTCAGCGCTCTGTAACGGTGCGAGATCGAGTTCTTCACTGCCTTGGGCAGCTCAGCATAGCTGGAGGGGAGAGAAACTATAAGTCTCAGCTGGAGAGATGTTGCAGCGCATGTCCCCCAGTCACCAGGAGCTCCCCCTCTGCTCGCTGTCACCCTGCTGTGACAGCAGACAGGTGTAGTGCCACTCCAGCCTGACCTGGGGGTTCCCGTAACCCACCACGTTCAGATCCAGGAGGGTGTTTTCTCCCTCCCACCCTTCTGTAAGCAGTTTCCTCTCCATACATAACCTCGGCCCCAGCTTTCCTCACGTAAAGAGCTGTAGGTAAAACACCACTTACGTTTGGCTGTAGCCATCCGGCTGAAAGCAGGGATCCCAGCCAAAATCTCGAGGGCCTCTAGGCTCCACTATCAGCCCCTACCATGAGAAAGCAAAAAGCCCTGTAAGCCATGGTTTCGCAGTGCTCCACACACAGACTGCAGAGCTACACACAGCTACAGCCCACGCTGTGACAGCCACAGGCTTGGTGCGTGGTGCTGAGCTCTTTCCCAGCACCTCCTCAGGACATGACCAAAATCAGCGACCCCAAACTCAGTGCTCCATCACACTGCCCTGCATTACAACCCTGCCAGAGGGAGACAAGGGGGCTGAAGAGCCCAAGGTGATGTACAAAAGCATAGGGTACATAGAGCTGGGCAAAAGGGCTGCAGCATTCAGTGTCCACCACTGTGCTCCCCCTCTGGCTGTTCCCAACAAGCTCCGAGGGCATTCAGCGACCCAGGAGCTGCTAAAATTGCCATCAACTGAGCCAGTGCTGTTACAAAATTCACGTGACAACCCTCCACCTAGGCACGTTCCCTTCCCCAGGCACACCACCTACATGAGTCTGGCCTTTGAACAGCTTCACGGGCTCCTCTGGGTTTCCAGTACTGAATGCAAAGGTACAGAGAGCATAGGCAGATTTGTCTTCAAACCCAGCCAGCAGCTTGTACAGGCCTGAGCAACACAGAAAGGATCCTGGCGTTAGTGCCTTTCCCTTGGAGCCCAACACACCCACCTAGAGATGGATGGAAGAAGCATCCTGCATTTCTGTCCACAAGGGAGAGGAAGAACTACTGGAGGTGACAAAGCTCAGGCACAAGGACACTCTTGGCTGGGTCCCTCGTATGACTGAAGCCAGCAACTCAGATCTAACACAGCGTGAGCTGCAGGGCCCCACTACTAATTTGGGAGTGGAAGCAAATGAGCATGTGGCACCAGAAAGGATTAAAGCCCACTCTGAGAGTGATTAATGACTGTGACACTAGTGTGGGATCTGCAGTCACGCTCTCAACCGCAGGATCAAAGGCAGTCACTGTACACCACAGGAGGTGAGCGTTAGCGGAGAGGGACTTGCACAGAAGCCAATGGGAGCAGCAGGACTTCCAGGTCACACTGATGACAGACAAGGAGTTCCCACAAGCCGTGCCACCAGCCTGCGGAGGCAGGAGTCTGGGAATCCAGGGATGATGCTGAAGGTACTGGGTGAAACAACATCCCATGAAGAAGGGCACAGAACAGGCTCAAGGAGAGAATGTGAAGGGACAGAGCTGGACAGACAGGAAAGGAACCAGCTATGATATGGGCAGTGTGGTGGGCAAGCACAGTCAGCAGGACTCAGCATAGGCAGGGACCCATTTCATTTGGAAAGGACAGAGCTTCGTGCAGAGCAGTAACATGGGAGGCAGTACCTTCTGGTTTGAGCTTTTCCAGGAACCACTTTCTGAAGGGGAAGAAGAAAGATAAATTTTTGCTGTTATTTCTCAGTAATACAGACATCCTTGAGACATTGTTGCCTACATTTTCATAGCCCTTTGAATCCCTCTTAAATATGCTGTCAAATCACCTCGTTCTGGACTATCTACCAATAATGACAGACTTAGCTCTTAAACTGAATGGGACACAACGAAAACAGCAGCAGGGTATTTAATTTACTGCAGTACCGGCGTCTATATAAATAACTCAATTCTCACTTGTGAGTGCTAACAAGCTGAAATACATTTCTCAACCCAACTTGTTCACATTTACACCCAGTTCTAGTGCCAGCTTCAGCACATAAAGCTTTTGTCTCTGCTTAGCTCAGCAGAGATAGTTTGGAAGAATCAATCACACTAAAAGTTAACCCCAGGAGCTAAGGCACTGTTTTATTAGAGGAGTTACACTGTAATGTATCACAGAATCACAGAATCTCAGGAGTTGGAAGGGACCTTGAAAGATCATCCAGTCCAACCCCCCTGCCAGAGCAGGATCACCCAGACCAGGTCACACAGGAACGCATCCAGGTTGGCCTTGAATGTCTCCAGAGAAGGAGACTCCACAACCTCCCTGGGCAGCCTGGTCCAGTGCTCTGTAGTAAAGTATCAATCTTGTTATCTGCTGGATTACAGCAGTCCCTATGGGAACGTATAGGACACTCATCCCAGAGTCCTGTTGAAATGAGCAGAGCCCGCTCTGGAGCCAGGTTCCTAAGCTGGCTACAAGAGCAGGCACTGCAGATCAGGAGCCAGAGCCAATAATTCAGGTCTGTCTCCCTCACCCTGCACTGTGACTTACAGCAGGGCTCAAGGAGCTCAAGTCCAGCCTCCAGGGTGCAGGGTGAAGCCAAGAACACAGACCAGTAATCACCACCCTGACCCTACTGCTCCTGGCATGTGGACAATCCCCCATGAAGCACACCCTGCCAGCCTGCACTTCTAACTGTAAGACACAAAGAGTGAAGCAAGTGCTCTCCTACTCACATGTACGGTCCTGGGAGTCCCCCGAGCGCGTTGAAGCACAAGCAGGTATCCTCTACTATAACAGGTCCTTGAACCTACAGCAAAAGCCCAAGAGATGGAAACATTACACCTGGAGGAAGGCCCTGCCTCCAACACCATTATCTTGCTCTATCCTATTCTCACAATTCCACGATAACAGGAACATCACAGAAATCCACCGGGCACCAAAGTTCTTCAACTCAGAGGGAATCCATACCAGACAGACACAACTAAACTCATGCTTTCCCCCACCAGGCTGGAGCGGCTGACATGTGGTAGGAAAGATGTCAGATAGAGAAAAATGAGCAGAGCTGAACACCTCCTGCCTTCGTGGGGGGCAGGAATGATGGGACAAGGAGAGGGAAAGCCTGCGTCCTGGAGGCACGCCTGCATTCTCCTCGAGTCTCAGTCCTCACTTGGTTCTTTTAAGACACCCATCCCAGAGACGGCTCTGGAAGGTGATCGATCAGAAGCTCCAGCTGACAGAAAACTCAGTGTCCCACAGCCGCTGGGACTGGACTGAAGGAGCCGTCATGTCCTACTGCCTGAAGGAGCCGTCATGTCCTCCTGCTGCTTGAGGGACACAAGAGGCCAGATGAGCAGCAGCGCGGCTGCCTGAACACTGCATCACCAGCAAGAATTCACCATCACCCAGCGCAGGCCACAAACAGCCGCGTGATGGGAGTGTAGCCAGGCCAGGCCCGGCCCAGGCCCAGCCCCATCCCGGAGTTTCCCCAGCGCCGGGTCAGAAGCCTCGACGACCCTGGCTGCCTCCCGCCCCGCCAGAGTCCCCGCACCCACACCACCGTTCTGACCGGCGGGAAAGGGGAAGAAGGCGAGCGACCTGACGGGCGGCTTCGCGGCACTTCTGCACGGAGATCTCATCCGGCTCCCCTTGGTACTCCGGC